CGAACTTCCTCATCTAGATGTTCCTACCTCATGTGGCTCTCTTCATGACCCACACTATATGAAACGGTTTGGTGTTGCCGTAAGGAAACACGACATCACAAAGTAGCAGCCGATGGTTCCTGCCATTACTTATGTGGCAGTATACTGCGTACATGCAGCTGTAAAAAGCTTGCCTCTACCTCCTGCAAGGACAATCTTATTTTGTTAGAACAATGATTTTTCACCTATTGCCACTGTCTTGAGAGGTGGCCTCAAGTTTCCTCAACCTGTTGTTGTGCAGGTAGTTTTGACAATGAGAACAGTGCTTCAGCCACTTGTAAGCGAAAAAAAAAATGCAACCGAGTTTTATGGTTCTACCAAGCAAAAAGAGCTTCTTGTTGCATTGACATCATCATTTACCGACAGTGATGAAGACCTTGACACCTATGACCAGTGGCGTTCACCACAGCACGTCATGAAGTATATTCTTAGTGCTGCTGCGACTGTTTTGTTAAGCAATCTGAGCAAACAGAACAACGACAAGCTCATGGCAAGTAAACAAGGAAAAAATAGTAGGAATCTAAAACACAGCAACCTTGACCTTATTTAGCTGCAAATGCAGACCAGGATGTTTTGCAAGAAGCTGCTTATGCAGACCAGCATATATTGTTTTGTAATTGTACTGTTTGTTTGCATGTCAAATGATTTGTTTGTAGGTAGCGGTGTGCCATGTTTACTTTGAGGTGTTGAAGGATGTAATAAAGAAATGAATGATTGAAAGAGTTGACTTTTGTTTGAAATTATAAATGTCTTACTAGATATTGCGGCATTAGTCCAATTCAGAATACTTTTTGCATCCTACCTCGAAGTATCAATGTCAGGATACGTGTGTTTACTAATTTCCCCACCGGTAACAGTTGTCAGTAAATACCAAAAAAAGCTTCTGGTTGTTAAGATAAATGCCTGCAAAAAAATGGGATAGTGGGCTAGCACGCCAACAGCCACTGGTACGCGGAAGCTCATTTTGCGCGTCAGAAAGAAGACGACATCGTTGAAACATGTTATGTTCAAAACCTATTGCGTAAGAAAGAACCAATGCTGAGCGCAAACTTAAATTTACGGACTGTTTGTATACAAAAAGACAGGTAGCGAACTCTATACCGTTTCGGCGCAGTGAACCCGACTGTCAGGCCGATCTCAGCTCCGCAACGTCACGGTGGCGTTGTGAGGCCTTGAGTATTTAGGTGGTGTTGGCTTTGCCCCCGTGGTTTTCATATAGGTGGCCATAGCAGACAACGCCGGCAGTGATGCATTAGGAGAAACGTAAAACTTTGCTGGAGCAGTTATTTAGCACTTTGTACAGTCAGTGAAGAAGCTGCAGCAGTATTTTCATGATTTAGTTGGGTGAAGTACAAGAATAGTAATAAAAAAAGGAGACCCGAAAGCGGTTGCGGGCTGCGCGCGAGAAGGCTGGCGGAGCAATCCGACCATGCACGCCAAAGGGAAACGTCCGCATGGTGGCGCCACGGTATGTCTTCGCGCCTAATATCTAGAAAACCAGCCGAAAAATGTCCCGTTTCTTGACTATATTTCGTACTTTAAGGGGAAGCTAATTAAGAGCGTCGCGCGTGACATTGCCGCAACTATTCTAGGTGACATGCGTAATTCCTGCATTGTGTTGCTGAGTGTGATGAATGGGCCCCGCCGTGGTGGTCTAGTAGCTAAGGCACTCGGCTGCTGACTGGCAAGTCACGGGATGGAATCCCGCCCGCGGCGGCCGCATTTCCGATGGAGGCAAAAATGCTTAAGCCCCGTGTGCTTATATTTTGGTGCACGTGATCTAAATTTCCGGAGACCTCCACTATGGCGTCCTTCATATTCACATCGCGTTTTTATTTTTGCGGAAAACCACACATACTACAACAACTATTCGCTTTGCACCTTCATGCTGCTTTGTTCCATCACCAACCATGAGAGCTCTTGACGTGTTTTTGGTGCATCTTCAATGCCAACAGCTTCAGCAGATCAACGTGCTGTGTCACGGTAAGGATTCGTGATTCGTGCCAGCCTCTCCAAAATACGCGCACTGAGCGATCTGTCCCACAGAAACGGGTAATAGGCTACCGCGAATCCCGAAACGGCACATAAGTGATGTCATACGTGCACGAGCAAGCTGGGGCCTGTCATGCGCGCTTGACCTGGCGTGCACATGACGTGTTGGAGCATATGCGTCACGTGATCCTGCGACTCCGATACCGAAGAGGAATTAGGCTCGCAATGGCTACATGGTACGAGGGGCAAGGGTTGCAAGCTTGCCTCCTTCCATCATGGTTTCGTGCACTAATTTGAAACTAATTTGAATTTTAATGAACTAATTTGAAAAATTATTGCAGTACAACACTCTTCGTTGAGCACGCTATAACTTTCAATGTTTAACTCTATAAAATTGCTCATGCTATCTGAAGACTTCCTTCAATCACACTCACATCGTTCGTAATTTCATTATAAATAAAACAAAAACCACACGAACATCAAGTTTTTTTCCTTTGATTCACACGTTTCTTTATTCAATGATTAGCTCGCTTGATTAGCCCGAAGGCGTTGCAGCAAAGGAGTTACAATGTCAATAAAAACACGTCTTCATCGACATAGCGCACTTTATCTCTTGATAAGCCATTTAATTTCCTCATGGAAAGAACAAAAGACGAATCAGCCTACAAATTTGATCTTGTACGGGATTCCTAAATCCTAGAGCTCTTATCATTGCGCGAAGCGACATAATGAGGGTTGCGTTGGTGCAGTTCTTTTTCAATGACAGTTTTACACTGAAATGATCGATACAGGAACCTTAACTGCAATATAGTTCGACGGGATGACAGTGATTCCCATTCTAGTTTATTTTCATATTGGTACAACGGCCATTTGTAGAGTACCAGCTTAGGACAAACTTTGCAGCTCTGTTCTGTATATATATATTTTTCACGTTTCTCACTTGAAGTAATTTGCCAAGGTTCCCACACGACACAATCACATTTAAGCATAAGGCGAATGTATGCTAAATACGCCGTTGATATTAAACATAAACTTTATAATTTGCCGGTCTTCGCAGCTACTGAATCAACATGAGAATTCCATGACTGGCCCTGCATGGTTTCGCATTCGTTCTCCACCTACCGGCGGCTACACAGAAAAACCTTCTATTACTTTCCCACGGCTACATCCAGATATTCAGGGCGGTTCCTCGATTCGTTCAGGACAATATACATACTGCAGCTCTCTGTAGAAGATGCTCACCGCGTCCTCGGCCATAGACTCCCCTTTTCTCTGTTTATTCCACCTTTAATTATCGGTCCACATTTGCCTGCAGACGCTGAGACGTGATTGCAATTAGGGCTACAGAAACAGCGGCTTTTCCACTCCTCCACCTCTCATCCTCATCCTCCAAACATTTGCCCCATGTAAGCCCTGTGGCCTGTGGTGGCCGATGCTTGTTATTTCACTGCTGCTGTAGCGGTTGTTTTTTGGAAGTTGGTAGAACCTCATAGAGTTTAAATAACGGTCTCAATCCGCACTTGAAAACGAAATTTGGGCTTAAATGAGCACTCATATAGGTTCTGATTTGTAATGTAGTCATTTATAGGCACCTAAAAGGCGTTTTGGTACGAACACCAAAATATAGGCATATATAGGCTATATAAAAACACTATAAAAGCTCTTCTAAACCTCTAATTCATGCTAAGATATTGAAGTGGCGTGATGGGAATGCAACAAACTAAATAGGCATTTGCCTATAATCTGGTCTCTACGAGTCTCATCAGAAGATTATAGTGCAGCACGCGCAGTCAGTAATTCACGGTCAGGCTAGGTTGGCTAGAATTTGTTATTTTTTCTCTCGAAATATGATGCCATAAGCTTAAATGACCGCGCTATTAACCAAGAGTCTACGGCCATTGGAGGATTCGAGCATCGTGAGCTGCACTCTTAGCGTGAACGCGGCGAGACAACGCGACGAGCCCGCACGTGCGCTCGGGATCAAAGCAGGCAAGCATTGCATTAAAAAAAAGGCAAATGTCACGAACACTGGGAGTCGAAGATATGCGAAGCACGAATGAAGAAGGTTGATATGACACTTTAGAATCAGCACAAGGTTATGAGGCGGGCGTAAATGATGCCGTACATGACTTCCGTATCAAGATTATCCTGTTTGAGCCTGGCATTGATGTGTTCGTCGTCCAATAACGTCACGTGATACCAAATTTGGTATATGTGAAACTAGTGAAATGACCGCGAGTGCATCATGAGCGCGGTATGTTGTCATGTTCTTACATGACACGCATCTTATGATTATCACGTTTCCACCAGTCATACACCTTCGTCATGCATTCACGCCCTGTAATACCCAATTGGTATATGGGAAACTACCGAAACGGCCATCAGCGCACCATGAGCATAGTGTGTAGTCATTGCTTACATGGCATGCATGTCATAACTTCCAGGTTAAAGCCTGTCGCTTATGTTTGCCATGCAGTCATGTCATACCATGCCAGTTTAGCAAATGCCATGTGAACAAAACCACCGCAGAAGCAGCCAGACTATGACGTGTAAATCATTTCATTCACGACATACATTTTCATGATTTTCATGTTATTACTAGTCGCGTATGCTCATCATGCAGTCATGTTATGCCATACCATTTTCGGTATAGAGCCCATCATCGAAATGGCCATGAGTTCTAGGCGGCTAGATAGATAGATAGATAGATAGATAGATAGATAGATAGATAGATAGATAGATAGATAGATACGGCCAAAGTTTGCTAAGAAATGCTTCGAATCAAAACTTTATTTCTCTTATTCTCGATGGGGAGATGGACTTTGCATTCTTACTCTGAATGTGCACTGAATGACCTCAGTAGGTAAACAATCAATACTTCACCGCTTATGAACATGGGCGTTCGTTTCTAGGGTAGCAATTCCGTGACAGTGAAAAAAAAACGCAAATGGTATATGCCGCCCACTCACTGGTGTGTATGTAGGTGTGCTTCTTCGTGTCTGTATTCTGGTGGAAGCGCTTGCCGCAGAAGTCGCATGGGTAAGGGCTCGTGTCCGAGTGGATCAGCTGGTGGGTGGACAGCGTCGAGGACCGCTTGAAGCGCTTGCCACACTGGGCGCATGAGAAGCAGCGCTCGGCACTCTCAGCTTCCACATTGGCCTGCGGAAGACGATGCTGCCTCAGCGGCCAGACGCCACACACACCACAAGACTGACTGCATATTTTACAGCGAAAACTGTTATGATATTGAAACTCGGGTCATGCGTGGCACCGTAGTTGTCCGCCACCGCCGCCGTTGGTGTCAGTGGGGCTAGAACCCAGGTTCGTGGGGCACTAGTGACAGTGGGGCCCGAACCAAGGTTCGCTGCGTGCTAGCCCAGTATTATACCACTGGCCCACTCCGATACTTAAATCAAATTGGCAAACTTGCTTTAGGCAGGCTTGGTATCGGGTAAAGAATCACGTTATAACGACTTATAGCGGGCGTTGTGGGCACCATTTGAGTTTTGAAATAGCGTTTGCCCCCCCCCCCCCCCCACCCGTTCCCCAATGATACACTTGCTAAGGAGGGAAGGTGTTTGAGGTTCGGAATGGGTCCCCTCGATGACTCGAGTGCACGGTGGCAGCGCGAAGGAAGGGCCGTAGTCTGGTGAAAAGACACTTTATTGCAGCCTCAGGCGTCTGCCCGAGGCCAAGCTCAAACCTCCGCTCTCTCGTTTCAGATTCAAACATCCTATTTTCAACCCTCGGTTGAACAAAGGGTCTCCACACAAGCAAATCACACGTGTGGGCTCGCGTCGCCACAACCAATCGCAAAAACACTTTCACAAGAAGCACTGCATCGGTAAAAATCACGTTACGAGATACAACACGAGAGGGGATAAGTTCTCCTCGTGTCACACTCTCTCCCATAACAGGCCGATTTCTGTCGGTAGCCATTTTCACGCTCGAGCCCCATCAGCTCTCTCATTAAATGTTGCTTCATAGAAGCTTCCTGAAGAGTGGTGAATACACCAGTGGGCTCTGCGCGCTTACCAGGTGTGCATGCGACAGCGAGGCGCCCCGCCATTCTAACAACACTCGGTAATGACGTATAGCGGGGGAAAATAAGCTCGTCTCCATGCCGCAACCATGGTCAGCCCAGTGGTCATGTCCCCGCAGCATTCTCAACACACGTGCATGTCAACAATGACTTGAACTCCGAAGGCGGCGCTTCATCTGCTTCTTGCCAGACACTCTTCCGAGTAAGCCTTCCCTTTATAGTCCCAAACGGAAGCGACCTTGACGGCTCCGCTCGCAAACTGTGCGAACAAAGCAGTCTCCTTCATTTTCTGTGCGCAGGTCTTCCATATTCGCCTTCGCAGAACCGATCAGCTTCGTTAGTTTACGGGTCGGGAACGGGCTCCGCGCTCTGCATCAGCTGCATTAGTTGCGCTACACAAATTACGCCGCTAATGGTTACCTCATACTAACTCTTCCCAGGTAAAAACTTAAGGACATTAGCGTCACCGCAAACCCAAATGCACGGAAGCCGCGCCATAACCTCGACCCCAGCACTTTGCCAGCCTTGCGAGCAGCACGCGCCGCACGCTATTTCGAATTTTCCGCGAGCGGACCACAAGCGCGAACGGCGGCTCGAGTTACGACGCATGCACAGTGGCAGCGACCGCACCGCAAGGGCTTGCAGTGTGCTATTCTAAACCTCCCTAATACCTGGACTTAGTAGGACACGTGCCTTAGGAGTCAAGTACAAAAAGACTGCTCAGACAATAAGATTTATTTCTCTCTTTTACAAGTTTGCCCACTGTGGTGTGTACTCAAACCTTTTATTACTGAAACTGGACACGCCCAAGTATGTTTCCAGTCACAAATCTTGCACCCGAACACAAGGAGGTCGCGCTGTCCATCTTGTACTCGCGTGATTAGCTCGAGCTGATGTAGCGAGCCAAGGAGCAAGGCCTTTTCGATGTGTTGCTATGTTTGCGGGATCTCTCGGGATCTGTTTTTAAGCATCTTGAACAATGGGGCAAACAAAACAAGGACTCTTGCATTGTGTCCTGAAATGAAGACGACCCATTGTTCACCCAGGTTGGAACTGGAAGCTGGTCACTGTTTTCTCGATTTTCTCTCTCCCTGTCACTAAAAAAAATTGTTCCTCAGCTTCCGCAAACAAAACTTGCAATAAGCGGGAAAAATCTACCCAGTTTGAGTGTACAGTTCTGCGAGGTATTGTCCCTTATTCTGGTGCTGGAGCAGTGCAGAATTCGGAAAAGTTGATGTTTGTATAACCGGAAGTTGTAAAAAAACTATGGTCCATCTCACCGAAGGGAACCCTGATGGGATGCGAAGCAGCAGCGGTGCGCACGGCGTTAATCGGTTGAAACGTGCGTCGACGCGTGTGCTGGAAGAACGGCTTGAAGCGAAACTCGTTGTAGTGTTTATCGAGTAAACGCTTGTTTGAAACTCAAAAACACGGGAGGCGGGACGCGTTAAAGACGCTTGCACTTGGCTTCCTTGGCTCGTGTCTCGTCAGTGTTACCAGTGCCCTCTGTGTTCTCGAATGCGATAGTTATTCTTGGTTGGACCCTCGTCGGTGTCACTAGTCTTCCACTGCCGACTCTTGCGTTCGGCTTCCTTGGCTCGCGCCTCGTCGGTGTATACGTCGCCATTCGTGAACGCTTATTTCTGCAGCCCTTAAGAGAGCATGACGAAGATTCTGGTAGAGGAAAGGGGGAAGGGGAATTAAGAATAAGAAAAAGAACGTAGGGTTAGAAGCAGTCAGCAGAGGCCACAGGTCGCAACACATGGACAGAGGGGCAACTGCCACAGCACCAACAGCGGCCAGGAGTGGACGAGATTCCTGTGGAGCATCTCGATGGTAGTGGGGCACCTCTGCCCCGGCAGCAGGGCTCTTAGTTTAGCGGGGTAGTGCCGGATTGCCTGCTGAGTGTTGTAAGACACACAGCACGCAACAGCTGTTCCGGTGGAGGTCCGTCGCCAACCGCGCGCAGTGCAGCAAGCCAACACCAGTGAGCAGGGAGGCGATCAGGGCGTCCCGCGGATTCTCGGCCGGGGCTCAGCGGGAGGGGAAAGGGTTGGGCTCGTAAAGGACGGGCTCAGTGGTGGCAGGATAGAACGGCGCGGCACAGGAATGGGGCCCTGCAGACCGGGTTCCTTGGTGGGGCTCTCTGGAAGGTTGGCCCTAACCGCAGCAGCATTGATGCGAACCTGTCGGTACTCCTCGCGTACTGTGGCCTTGACTGCCTTTCTCGAGAGTGGCCATGGTGCTGTGTTCACCAGCGTGGCTAATCTCCGCTCCTCCCGCCAGCGAGGACAGGCCGGCGCGTCAGCAGGATGCCTCCCTGCGCAGTTGACACAGCGGGGATGGCAGGTACCGGATGTTGACGGCCGCTTCTGAAGCAGGCGCCAATGCGCAGGCATGCCTCGGATACATGCCCGAATCGCCCGCACTGCCGGCACTGTAGCGAACGCAGCCTGGCGTGGCACACCCGCAACCGCAGACCGTAGAGAGTGAACGAGTCCGGTGGTTGGCTGCTGGTTAACCACAACCGCACCGTCTTTCCATCCTTGCTTGCAGACAGGACCGGAACAGTCGACGCGAGTCCCGTGGTCAACCCGGTCTCCGAGCCCGTTAGGTCGCTGTCCACGCCATGGAGAAAGCCAACGTTGCTGCGATGATCCGCAGGCTCCCTGGCAGTGACGGAAACGCCGCTAAGCTTCTTGATATTTAGGAGCTTGGGCAAGAACGCTGGGGTCACCACGTCTGCAGCCATGATGTTCCGACGGTGGTTGACGTGCACCGCCGTCACACCGGGCCGCTTAGCGAGCGCCACCGCGAGTGTCAAGCGCGGCAATTCCATGAATAAGCCGCCAGGAGTGGAGGGACGGTAGATAACAGTTCCCGCCACTGCAGAATTGGTCGCTATGGCTGCGGCCTCCAGTGCCCTTGCTCGCTTCCGAACGCCTTCGATACGACCGTCTCGTAGTCGTTTCCGGCAGGTGGAGGGCTCGGGCGAAAGCGCGGCACGACGACCATAATGTTGCGTGGCCGCTGTACTGCAGGGGCCTCGGGTTGGTTGGATGGAGAATCGCGCTATACTGGCGCCGGCGTTTTCTCTTCGGTATGCAAGCTTGCCCGCTGATCGGCGCGCCGACGATGGTGATGAGGGCAGCTGATGTGACCTCCTCGCTGTCTTCGGTGCTTTCTTGCGTCATCATTGTTGCTAACCCATGGAGGCATTTTATCCCTAAATTGTCCCTCTAAATATCTCTAGATTGCGAGAAAAATTTCTAGATTTTATTTTTAATGTCATTATTAACACAAATTGACTTTAAAAAAGTATTAAGATAGTGTGTTCTGTGGTCAAGTTATTCTCAACCTTCTTAAAAGTAAAATTCCCGAATAATCATGATTTAAGGAACTTTTTCTACACTTTCTGTAGAATTGCATATAGAGTGCTTGCAAATGGCACCTGTTGCCACAGACACGGATTTGCATGTCAAATTCGTTTTGCACATGCATTGAAGACGTCGATGTGATCATTCGGTCAACCTCAAGTCTGTCGCACTTTTCTTGTACTTGCAGCTTGGCAGCTGGTGCTCTATTCTTAATTTTACACATTTACAATCCCTGTTGCAATTTTTTCAGATGTAAGTGGGTGTTAAACTACTGACTGATAGCTACGCCTTTCCTCTGCACTTTCGATCAGCTCCACGTTTGGCCGAATCTATTCGTCACTTTTACGCTTTTATGTAAGGGGCATGTCGGAAAGACTGAAACACCCGAACAGACTCCTTTTGTCACGCCATTTGTGGAATATTGAACCCATACCACCTTACCAAATCTTCAGTCTTATTTCGTGCTGTTCTTCTATAATATTTATAGGTATTTATCATGGAGACATTCCTCTGTGAAGGCACGCAGTGAGCGTAATCTTGACACGTATTTACGTGCACTACAAGACAAAATTTATCTTTGTTTTATAATGCAACAATCATGGCGCTCATGATATGCGCGTGCTTAACTTTTATGACTACATAGCTTAACTTTGCGCAATGTTCAGACTAGAACAATCTCACATGAGAAAAATGCCATCTCCTGCACACAACTCATTAGAACACCGAGGTTATCATAAAAAAACATAAAATTGTCGGAATTATCATTTTTACAGCCTTTCTTGTTGAAACAGAGTGGTCACTTAGTAATGCCTTCAATCAGGCCGTGAAACGGCATACTTCCACACTTTTCTAAAAATCTTTAGATTCAGCCAAAAAGACGCCAAATCCCCGAATGAGGTAAAAATCACTAGATCTAGGCATAAATCCCTAGGGTTGGCATCACTGGGCGTCAATGGTTGCGCGCTCAGGCCAATGGGAGGCTCCCTTGAGTAGGTGAGGGAGTTGGATGGAGAGGCGGGGGCTCCGCCAATGAGCGCCTGCTTGCGCGGGCACTCTGGCTCTTCTGCCTCTTGCCCTCGTTTCCGTGAAGCCTCTAGAATACAACGACCATGTCGCCTTCGTACGGGCTTGCAGGCAATGAGGTTGAAGTCGGGTTGTTTCAGAAGGACGAGAGAGACCACAGAACCGATACGTCTTCGGTTTATTGTTGACAGAACAGGAATAAAAATGCCCCTGGCCACTTCTTCCTCGCCTCCAAGCTCCATCTTCTATCTGTTTTCTACATATTCCTGCTGGCCAGATTCAACCGAAGCAACCTTGGAGCAAATACAAGAGTTGAATCGGCCTCTTGACTAAATTTTCTTCAGGTGTACGAAGCAAGCATGTTCTCACTCGTCCATCCTTGCCTGAGATTTTTTCGACCTTGCATAGTTTCCACTGAGTTCTTTTTCGCGCTTCTCCAAGCAGAAGTACATCTCCTTCTTGTCCATTTGTGTGACGCTCTATTTCTCTGCTGGCACACTTAAGCTCCCTCAGGTACTTCTTTTTCCATCGGGCCTACCATGTTATTAATGCCTGTTTTCTTGCACCCCAGTAATTCAGCATACTGTATTCAATGAGTCTGTTTTCTTGCTGCTTGTTCATTGCTTGCCTGCCTCCTATAACGTCCGCCAGTGTGATGGGTTGTGGCTCGTTAGGATCGTCATACATATATGTAAGAGGCCGGTTGTTAAGTACTACTTCTGCTTCAACAACCACAGTTCGTAGTTCTTCTTCATTCAAAAGTCGATCACCTATAGTTTTTGCCATGGATGTCTTAAAGCTTCTGATCAGTCTTTCATAAAATCTTCCCCACCATGGAGCTAACTCTACAATAAACTTCCATTTTATTTTCAGGTTACTGGTATACTGTTGCACCTTTTCATCTTTCATCTTTAATATCGTGTTCATCTCTTTGTCATCTCTTTCTTGAACGCTCTTGAATTATCACTGTAAATAGTTGTACACAATCTTCTTCTAGCTACGAATATTCGGAATGCTTGTATAAA